CGTGGAGCATGTCCTGAAGCCCAAAGAGTTTTGGTATAATGTCTTATCGACCGATGAGTCGATGATACGACTCAAGTATTCACATGGCATGGTTCACGTATGGCGTAAAGCAGGCGACGCTTTGTCCTATAAGTGTACTGTTCCTACCGTTAAGGCAGTAGACAAAGGTTTAATGGTGTGGGGATGTCTCTGTGCTCAAGGTACAGGCGATATAATCGTTTTGGAAGGAAAAGTTAATGCAGATGTCTACATAAAGATCCTAGAGGAGACGGCTATCCCCGAAGGGAAACGACTAATTGGTGACCATTTTGTATTCCAGCAAGACAATGCACCTATTCACACCGCAAAAAAGGTTGTGGAATATCTCTCCAAGGAAAACATTACTATTTTAAAATGGCCACCGCAAAGTCCTGACCTCTCTCCAATAGAGAACGCTTAGGCAATACTTAAAATTCGTATTGCTGAAGCAGCGCCTCAAAACTTACGACAGTTGAGAGAATGCATAATTTCAAATTGGAAAAATATTAATCCAGAGGGATGTCGTAAGCTTGTAGACACCATGCCAGATCGACTTGCAAAAATGTCACTGCGAAATGGAGGCCACTGTGGATATTAACTAAGTTGGAAACTTAATTTTTCAAGATTTTTCATAAAAATATTTTAAGTTTCCAGACCCGGCAAAAAAGCTTAAAATTTGTTTTTTATTTTTTAGTATTCGTTTTGACAATTTATAATAAACCTTTGAAATAAACAGTATACTTCTTTTTAAAACCAACATATATTAATGCTATTTGTGTTTGAGTTCATATACCCACATTGGAAACTTATTTTTTCCACATACTGTATATATATACAATAAAACCCAATAGCTGTGCGTAACGTAATTATCTAAATACTATTTATAACGCACCTGGACACACTGAATTACAAGCTAGTTCGCTGTGAAAAAGATTCTTTGTCTGACACGAATTAGCGTCGAGATCAATCGTAACAGTTACACATCTATTGGACTTTGGGCTGAAGCGGTAACGTGTCACATTTCGCTCAGATTGCACTTTTCCTAGACAAGCATTGTCCATTGACTCAAAGCATACATCTCCTGCAAGATTACGTTACAATGATTAACATATACATACATAGCCAATGAATAAATATATGTAAATGCATATCTGTACATACTTGTCTTCGAGCAGCAGACTCCACGATGTGTCACCGGATTCAACTGACACGTGTGTGTTGTGGGACAGGCCTCATTATCGTTGTGTGGTCCGCAACTCACCTCAAGATCACCTTGTTTCAGCGGATTACCTTCGGGGCAAAGCGATACCCGCCGTGGCACACAAATAGGCATTTTAGGGCATGGAGAATCAATGCACTCTACATTAATCAGCTGACACTCCTCGCCGCTAGAACAATTGATTTCATCACAAAAGTCTCTACACTCACAAATTGCACATCCGTTTTGATCGATTTTATATCCGGCTTCGCATTTCTTTTCGCATTTTGTTTCCGGACAAGCAAATGTTGCATTCACCTTGCAGATCGGCGACGTCCCTTTGATCCGTGTGCCGTTTAATGCCCAGCCATTTTCATCGACACACCAGCAAAAGCCATCTGGTGAACATTGTACTTGATTCCATTTGCCGGTGCGAGCATCGCATTGAGCTATATGCATTTTCATTGCCGGTATACCTAGCTCGGATGCTTGGTGCATCTGTATTGTGTGCAGATGTTGGCAAGCGGTTTTCATTTGAGGCAACACGCACTGGGTGCCACAACCATTCGAACAACATCGTTTCTGGCCATCACAGTGCGAGTCTGTACGACATTCGTAAGCACACGTGTTAGCGTCCAAATTGTCAGGACCAGGTGGCACCAGGAATGGGCATTGGCCAGGTTTACGCGGTAAACATGCTGGAACGGGTGGACAATATTCTTCATCACATGAGACATCGACAATGCGACACTCTTTGCCATCCCCGCAAACAACACCATCGCAAGGGTCGCGACATTGGCAGGCGGGGCAACGTGTGCTGGGATCTAATGTGAAGCCATATTCACATCCCATTCGACAAGTTAGATCCAAGCAGTCGATGGATTCACGAATATTCAAGCAATCCGAGTCAGTTAAATTGAATCCGCGTGAATTTGGTATTTCGGTGCCAAAGCTGTCTATACACCAACATTCCTCTACTTCGATTTCCACCAATTCGTTGTCGAACAGCGACTGTTTCGGCGCTGGTAAAACTTTTTTAAACTCCACTTCAAAAAGTTGTCCCAAACTTTGCGTACGATCAGCTCCAACATCAATTACTTTTGCATTACGACTCTGGATTGGCGCAGCAATGTGCACTTTTAAGGCGTCATCGTTAACGCGATACAATTTTAAACGCTCTACTTGCCGTTTCTTACGTGTTTGTCTCTCATCAGTGCTTTTCAGTAGCATGCGCATGCGTCGTATGGTATTCTCCTCGAGGATTTGCCGCTGTTCAGCACGTGTAACACGAATTTTCTTCATGCCACACTGACGTTCTAAATAGTTGCCGTCGTCGGTACAACGTGGTGCCGGTATAGCCAGTTGCATGCCTTCTTCGGTACCTTCCATGCGTTCGGAAAAATCTCTTAAATATTCACACACTAAAAAAGTCCAGAATATTTATGTAAGTAGATAGTAATAAACATCAATACAAATAACTATTATAGGCAGGATGTTTACTCACTGGTTTGTTGGTGTGTCGAATGCCCATCCATGGCTATACTCTCTTCAGGAAGTGGGCAACAAATACTTTCCGTATCGTGGGGTAACTTCACGCATTTATAGTTATTCGGGCATGCAATACGATTGGACATAGAGCGCGACTGCTTTATTTCTGGTCCCGGTTCAAAGAACGCAGTTGGTTGAAAAGCTCGAGATTGACGCTCTAAAAGCAAATACAAATAAAAACAAATATGAAGTTCGTATGTAATAAGTTTACTGTAAGATCGATTATAACTAGACTATTAAAGGATAGTACAGGTAGATATAAATGTGACTTATAGATACTGCGTACGTACCTTCAAAACAATACATAACTTCACCAGTTATATTATCAGCTAAAGGAGCACCGACGTCGCACGGATTAGAATATACCAAATCGGGTTTGCATACAGGCCAGGAAGCGCATAGTGCGGAGCCTGTTTCACATAATGGATCAGTGGCAACTTCACAGTGTGAACCGATCGCACACTTGAAGCCCTCACAAGGCTCCGAGCATTCACATGAAGGGCATCCATTATGATCGTTCTAAATGAAATAGAAAATATTGAATTTTGTGTAAAATTTAATATCCTTACGAAGAATACATATCGATGGTCCTATGTAATAACGACATAATTCAAAATTCAAAAAAAAAACGTTACTACTGTTAAATGGCTCATGTATTTAATTCTTGTCGAATCCATGTCTAATCTTTTGTACTTACTTTAGCAATCGTTACTGCTTACATTAGTAAGGGATGAAAATGAATTTGACAGTATCATGACTAGTATCATATCTTGTGGAACGAAATTAATTGCTTTCCGCTTGTACAACATTGGGAGATAATGCAAATTTAATGGATAACGATGTTGCTCGAAAAATAATCTTTTCTGGGGTAGCGCATTTTACACTCGGCGAGTATATTAAGAAGCAGAACTACCGCATATGGGGATTGGAAAACCCGCACGTGATCGTCGAGTAGCCAATACATCCTCGGAGAGTGACAGTTTAGTGTGGATTTTGGAGCGTTCCCAATAGGCCCATTTGTCTCTAACTTGACAGCGTACGACTTTTTTGGTGGGGTGCCGCGACGGAAAATCCATTAACGATTCAGGCCCTAAAGGCGAATATCGAGCGCGATACGCAATAGCGAAGCAAACCAAGGCAGCTACATTTATGAAACCGTGTTCCGAAAGGAATGGGAATGTTTGTTCTTTCGAATAAACCAATAATATACCTACCGCTGTGGTGTAGCGGTAAGAAGTGCGCACGAAAACAGCTTCTCATAAAAATTAACTCTCCGTTCGAAATCGGCTTAAAACTGTAGGTTCCTCCCCTATGTGTGACAACATCAAGGCGCACTCCACACATCGGAGGCGAAGCTCGGCCAAGCACTTACATATTGTGTAAGCGCCAATCTATTTTTATTACTATATCGAAAAAAAATTATGTTTTCTTTTTGAATTTTTAGAAAGAAATAACTACTTATATGGACTACCCTTTCTGTACATGTGTATGTACATAATACGAAAATCCTTTGCTTACCTTAAAACCATATTCGCATACTGCTGCGCAAATATTCGTATCGCATTTTTCCATATTAAAGCTTCTACCCAGCGAATGACTTATCATATTCTCCCAACCATCGCAATTGACATCATTTGCTGGCCCCATTGAGCCCTGAATTTTATGACCAGTACGTGGATCAACACACCAACATACGAGGCCATTACGCGAGCACTGACGTGGTGAGAATAACCCACCGGGGCCATTACAATCCGGTTGATAGCCACGACCTTCCCTCTCATTGACCTCTAAAATATCGGAGAGTGCACGTGCTTGATGGCATGTAGTCACATTATACGGCTGCTGGCAATTAAATTGGCAACCCCTTGTAAAGCAACATTTCTCCATATTACCACATTCCAGATCGCTGTTACATGGAGAACCACACATGTATCCCGTACGTTCGCTGTATTCAACTTTATCTTGCGCAGGACAAATTCCTGGCTTCGAGAATTTCATTGTGCTTGGACAACAAACTCCATATTCATTACCAGTATCAATCATGCACTCATAGAGTGGAGGACATTGTGGCTTTCCTGTTTCATTACCACAAAGAAATGGACGAATGCTGCCATCAATGGCTAATGGCATGCCAGCTGGACAGTATGTAGATAAAGATCGAGCTTTTTTACACGTAGGCACCGGGGGGCATGGTTCAACTTTGCATTTGACTTCTTGTGGTTGACACGTCTGTCCGTTGGGACAAACTACGCCTTCGCAAATATCGCGACAATGACAGACACTACACCCAGTTTCGGGGTCTCGGGCAAAGCCCGCTGGACAGAACATGCGACACGCAGAAGCCGCGCAATGCGTTGGCTCGGAACAGCGTACCTGCGACTTTGACTCGTTGCGAGTACCTGGTATTTCGACGCCATACTCATCAATACACCAACAATCTAGGCCGGTTCTTTCGTTACGACACTGGATCTGTTCAAATTCTCCACTTTTACTACATCGCGGTATACGAATTGAGGAGTCTTTTTCATTTGAATACAATGCTTTGGCGCGTCGGATCTCAACACGACGCAAATGTTGGCATGCTGTTAAGTTTGCTGAAATGGAGATGATAAAAATATTTTTTCTTTATACTTGCATACTTGTTAACGGAAAATTATTTTTTATGATGGATTTAAAATTATAATATGTTTATGTATGTATTTATGTACATACATACATAGACATGTGTATAGATATGTATGAATGTATAACTATGCCGATAACACCATGCGATAGTCAATTTTACACACACAAAAAAAACTATATATTCGCGAAACCATCTGAAAAATATCGTAAAGCCGCGTCCATCCTGACTTTAACAGCTTAAAAAAATAAAATCTAATAATAATCTTGCAAATCAAAAAACTTGAATGTTTTAAATTGTAAAGAATTTTCTCTTGCATTTGGTACCCATAGTTATTCTATATTGCACTTAATTTTTTTTTTAATAATTTCTAAATTAATCATATCTTTAAAATCTCAAAGTCCTTTAACAAAAGTCCTGACGTCACACAATGTTTCGGCTAAATGGAGGCGGGTGGAAACAATAGTTAGCCTGCACCGAACCGAAGAACTTAGTGTTCTCAGAACGATATTAATATTTAAAATTGATGGATTGATGGATGAAGATATCGTGGTTATCAATGGAAAAAGGCGTAGACAAAAATTTTTTGGAAAGACAATTTTTTATATTAAATAACTTTTGCTGCATTGTCATAATATTGAGCCAAATGGACCATGATACCGACCCTATTATAGTTGTCGACGTCGACGTCGATGTAATTTTTTCGTCAAAAAATAGCCCTCGCAAGTCCAACTCAAGCTACGCTGACCACAGTATTTTTGCGGAAAGGTGTTCTTACCATGCCTCAGACTACATACCGTCTATTGTACTGTTTTCTTATTCTGTTTAACATATTTTAAATCTACGCGATCTACGAATAAATCGGACCACTGTTGGGTGTTAAAGAGCTCTGGTGGCAGCAAGGGCAAGTGGCGTTGTCATGTTCGCTTATCACAGTCAGGTGTCCAGTCAACAGTCAACTCGTTAGTTCGGAATTATCTCGGACATCAGTGGTTAGCGTTGCTAGCTCTGCACATTGATGATGCGGATTCGCGTCCTGCTGAAGTGTGGGTAAAGAAGTCTGAAGAGGAGATGTGGTGATCTCCAAAATACGAGCTATAACTTCTACCGCTAAGACTTTTATACTTTTTCCAGTTTTCATAAAAAAACAAAATCGTGGTACAAATTCTCAAAAGAACCATCTCATAATGTCAAATACAAAAAATATATGAATTTTGAACCGTTTGTTTATATTTTTTGACATTATAGTACCGTAAAAGAGAGCCGCACTGAGTTGTCAATCGCACCTTGTTTAATACATCTAACATCCACCTAAACCAACAATATGTTTTTTTATTGGTCCCCTTGAGGGGTTTTCAGGGACCTATAAAAATAGTTAATATTAAAAAATGGTTAAATAAACCCTTGGATATTATTATTGGAAGTCTCCTAAAGAGAAATCGAAAAATATTGATTTTCAAGAATTCTATACCATTTCTACGAAAACGAGTTTTACGCGTATAATTAGAAAACTCGGGAACTCGCAAGGGTGTTTATAAAAATTTGTAAAGCTAGATGGAAATATTTACTTCCTGTTGTATTAATGCGATTTTTCTTCGGCACATATAAAACTGCCTGAGCGTGAGGAAATGTATGGATGAGCCCGTGTGCATCTCCTAGCGCTTATATGTATTATACATACATACATATGTATTTAAATATGTACACGTTTGTGTACAAACATACTATATAGTACATAATATGTACATACATATGTACAAAGCGCATTTTGTATATCTCAACCATTTCTCCGATATTGACTCTCTGTAATGAAAGCGAAACTTACTATATTTGGTATATAGGAAACCAATTGTGTCGTAGAGTCGTTGTTAGCACATAACGAGTGCCTCACGAAGCTACATATGTACATATATATGTACTACCACTACACGACGATGCTAAGTGATGTTGCTAGCTTTTGCCCATTGACCGACTGACACAGTGTTTTCCTAATGTTTCATTTTGCTAGCGTTCTTTCTTGACTTTTTTGCCTATTGCTAGTACGTATGTATATACATATGTGCATATGTATGTGTGTGTATATGGATCTTACACCAGTTTTATGTTGACTAAAATCTTACTAGTTTATCACAGCGGAAATGACTTTAGATCGTTGGGTGTTTGATCTTCAGACATGTTTGTTCACTTAACGAGTTTCAACACGTTCGTGCAACATGGCGGGATGGAAAGTGACTGCATTGGTTCCCTGCTTAGTGTGTGTGTATGTACATATGTCGGTGTCTATTGTATATATGTTTACGGATAAAAAAAAACTATGTTCTATTTAAATCAATAACCAACAAGAAATTAATTAAGTACTTATTAAACGTACAGCTTTCAAGAAAAATCTGAACAAACATTATTCATTATTTCTGTTGATTGAAAAAGTACTTTGTTTTTGCTGTAAATTTTCTTTTGTTTAATGCTTTGCATTAGAATAAACAACGTTTATGAGTGTTATGGTGCTGCTTCTGTTGTCTAAAGTGTCATAAAAATAGCCTACTTTTTTTTTTTTTAAATATCATACTGGGCGATGTGAAATTTAAAAAAAAAATTGAGATTAAAATAAGTAGTTTTTAAGCCATAAAAAACCGACATCAATTCGGTTAACGGGTCCAAAGTTATGCGGAAACATACATAAAAAAATACATATTCCGACGAATTGATATCTAACCTCCTCTGTTTTTGAAGTCGGCTAAAAATTAAAAATTGTTGCGACTTTCCTTCTTTGTAAATGTGTTTGATTCCAGAGGTATCAATACATCCTTTACAGGTCCAAATAATCAGCGTTTATGATTCTGAGTTTTTTTTTTACCTCCCTTTCCGCCCATCCGCACGAGGGGCGCCGTCCGCATGACGTACGGAACCAATATTTTAAATTTTCGCGCCGAGTCACGATAGGCAGGAGTTTGTTAAGTGTCGAGATCTAAAACTGTTCAGCTACAGTACTAAATTCATAAGCTTATTTTATGTCTTTATGTTACGCAAATTTGTACTTTCTCGGTAGAAATTTGAGGTCTATGTTATGTAGTTTGACTGTTGCCACTAAATTCTAATGCTTTGTATTGCATCCGCTCCACGTTTTTCGTTTTCAATCTCATAAATTGTTTATAATGACTTTTGCTAAAATTTTAAAATCAAAAGTTATCAAAACAAATTCTATGGGACTGAGAAATATATTCTAATTTTTAGTCGATTTATAAAAGCGTGGTATATTAAAAAGTTTTTTATTTTTTTTATTTTATATGTATATTTATTAAAATGTGATATGGAATGACCCATATACATGCAACATACATATGCATTAATATTTAAATGCATAGTACTCGTATGCACATAAACTTAACTTCAACATTACTCACCATTCAATCGCTTAGCTTCGGCAGCATTGAATACGCACGCGTAAGTGCATATAGCCAGGAGTATAAGTTGCAGCAGCAACTCTCGTTCATTCACCCGCGCCATTTTCGCTAATCTCAAAATTTGGCAACAGCATGAAACCACAGCACAGACAAGTTTTTCGCTTTTTTGTATTTATTTTACTATAGCAAAGCGGTTGAGAAAAAACCAAGTTTTGGCATAAAATTCGTTTTGTTAGTTGAAGACACTGAAACGGCAATGAAGAAATAATAATACATTTACATATATGTACAACTCATACTTATGTACATGTAATGGCTAGTAATATATATATATATATGTTCGTTAATTGAGGAATAACATACATATGTACATACATACATACATGCATACATGCAAAGTGTAAAAAAAATTAAAAGAACAAAGCTATAAATAATAAAGAAAATGCATAAGATCGTGAATATCCATGTAATTTTTATAAATTTTGCTTGGCGTTCAAATAATAAAAAATACCATGTACATATGTACGTACATACATTCAGTTACCTCGATTCACAAAGGCTATACTCAAAAAAGTTTCTCGTTTTACCGGATAATTAAAAAAAAAAAAACATTATACAAAAAATCCAAAAAACAGATAGGGCTTTTTAAAAAGTGCCATATAACTTCGTGTTTCTTGATACTAATACTTTAAAATTTTTAGTATAGTTTAATATGAGGCCTTGAGTGCCATAGTAGCCTAACTGACATTTCAAAAAGTTGAGGTGCATCTTAAAATGCATTACTAGAAACGAAACGGCAACGGTAACGGCTTTGAGTGAAACGTTTCTAAGTTCCAATTTAAAAATGTTTCAGGAGAGGAAAGAAGCTTCTTATGGCCATTTTCGTCAAGTATTTCGCAAAACTTTGATTACGACATTTTACCTGTTTAAAGCAAATCAAACCTCCATACGAATGATACGGATTCGATATTTCCACTTGAGTGGAAAACAAGCTTTTGACTGCCGTTGCCGAGTAGGTATAGATGTCGGCTATAAATTCTGTGTGTCGCAGGTTCAAATGCCGGCATATGCAGTATTTAAATGATAGAAGCAAATTTTTTATTATACAAAATTTATAATTTTCATATGAAATTTCAATTTGTAAAGGCTTTGCAAAAGCATTTTCAATCCTGATAATTTATCAAGAAAAGAGCTTTTGATTTTTGTGCTAGAATTCCAATTCTTGTTAAATAATAAAAAATTTACAAATTATAAAAATTTGGTGTTTATCAAGTGCATAGAACAGCCCTAGTCTTTATAAATTCCCCGAAATTTCGTATAACCGAAATATGTTTAGTACAGTATAATAAAAATTTCGCAAAACTAAAAAAAAGAAAAAACACTTGTTGCTCTTGTGTTATGTATACATACTTATGTATGTGTGTATATGAACATACTATACAAGTTTGGTTTCATGCAGACACAAAAAAACACCTTTGTTAGGGTGCATTTATATGTGCACACATGTACATATAACTGTAAGCTGTAACTTTTTGAGATTAAGCTGCTGCTACCAAGTTGGCTTGCATATGTATGTATGTACATATAAATGGATGTATGCATGCGAGTAAATAGTTGCATATTTTTGCCAGCGATGATGATTAATCAGTGAGAGCACCATGGATCGCTTTCACTTTAACAGTGGAATTCAGTTGATTTGTCGCATAGAATACATACACTGAAAAGAATTAGTTGTGAAATCATAGTCAGACCCCAAAAACAAACGAAACTCGTTACCTATGCTGCGAACCGAGTTAATTGATATATTGAGTGGTTGATCGTTTTAAAAGATAAAAAAAAAAAAAAAAAAAAAATATGCAACGAGAAGCTGGCCAAACTATAAGGAATGCAGTTCGCGATATTAGATAAAAACGAAATATTTAGCTGAAAAATCTTTTTTTTTACAAATTTCAAGTATCAAAAGAACCCGATAATGCGAATTTTTCGATAACACAAATTAGGCCTACTATTACTTAGTTCGGATTATTGCGGGGTTTGACTGAGTCGAATGTGGGGGAACAAATGCTTTCTTTTTTTCAAAGTGTACTACCAGATTAGATATCGCACACAATCTTCAAAGGTGACACAACTCAAAATTAGACGTTCGTCAGAAAGTGCGAAAAACTATTTCCTAGCGCATGATAATCTTATGGGCAAGGAGACTTTGCCTTAGGTTTTTTCAAAAAATTAGAATGAAAATTTGCTCCAGCTTTTGCCTGAATGATAAATAAAAGCTCTGTGTACATTTTTAGTATATAATTTAAAAAATGCCAAATATTGAGTTGTGTCATTTTTAAGATCGTGTGCGATATAGTATCTTTTTATATCCATTTTATTTCCGGCACATCATTAGGACGCACATCATAAATTGTTATACATTTTCGCATACGCGAATAGTTTTTAGGTTTTAATTTCACAAATATACTAAAGGATAAACAATTCAAGTAACATGTTTGACATTTTTTTAAGGACCAGATTTACGGCCAGTTTCACCATCGAATAAATTAAAAAAGGGGGTTTCCCTTCTGTCAGTTTTCATATTAAATTGAGATAAAAACAATAATAATTACTTCCTTAAATCGCTTTCATGAAACGTGGCTATAAAAGTGAAATACTGTAAACTTTTGAATTGGTATGCAACTTAAAAAAGGAATTATGTATGGCTGGTTCTAAGCCTTCTTAGTGCAATTTCTTTTTTTTTAAGGAATCAGACAAAAAATTTCAAAATACTTTGTACATCATATTAACAGAGCTTTATTTGATTAAGGGCCGATTTCATAATGAAACACTTAAAGTTCCTTTTGCAAAAGTTTCCTTTTAGTTAAAGTGTCAGTTAAATGTACTTTAAGCAAGAAGTGTTTTCATAATACAATGGCCATTGAATAATAACAAAAGGTTCATTTAAATGGAAATATAGTTGGCATTGCTGATCTTGGCAAAAGAAGGGATCTTCGAAGAAAACTTAATTGTAATTAAAACCAACGACTAACGACTTTTATTATAAAAGTTCGGGTCCCTGATTTAATTACAAAACTGCATTTGTGGGATCCGTGGCCAAGCGGATATACAAACATATGTATGTGGTAATGTTACACCCTAATAATTATACAGATACATATGTAGATACATTTTTGTTACAATAAAATATATTGTAGGTGGGTGGTCGTGACTTAGATTTATCTAATAAGGCATATGTGTGTATGATTTTAGGCTCATATGAACACCGTACATATGTATGTGTATGTACCTATATAATGCACCGACTTAACAGTTCGATAACATCGTTGGTAAAATCAACATTGCCCGAATTGTTTGTGGTTTGTTGCCCCACATACGAAAAGTACATTGTCCAATTTGATGCCAAATTATTGCGTTTGGCCAGCAACCAACTGTGGTAATTTTATGTGAATATGTTATTTATGTATATAGATATGTACATTTATGTGCACATGTACATATGTATGTATGAATTAGGGATGTTTCGAATGTCATATTTTACATATTCGGGAATGCGAATGCGAATTTTCGGAATGCGAATGTTAGGAGTAACATTAAAATAGTTATAATCAACTTAAGTCACCGTTTTTATTAATTATACCTTTCATGAGCATGAAATGGTATTATAACTTTGGTCCGATGTTTGTAAGTACCAGAACAAAAAGAGATAGACCCATTAAAATGTATACTTATATGATCAGAACGTCGAGCTGAGTTGATTTAGCCATGTCCGTCTGTCCGTCTGTCCGTCTGTCTGTCTGTTTGTATGCAATCTAGTCTCTCAGTTTTCGAGATATCCGGATCAAATTTGGTAGGTGGGTGTATTTTTATAATGTATTAATTATTTGTCGGAACCGGAAGAATCGGACCACTATAACATATAGCTCCCATACAACTGATTGTTCAGATATGAGATTTTTCGTTATAACTTCTGCATTTATGCAGCTACGAACATGAAATTTTGCAGTACTTGCACCCATTATCAACAGAATACTTACAGTGAAAATTACAAAGATCGGGTCACTATAACCTATAGCTCCCATACAACTGATTGTTCAGATATAAAATTTTTCGTTATAACTCCTCCATTTATATAGCTAGGAACATGAAATTCCGCACTGTTTTCAATAATTATTAACAGAAAACTTACGGTGAAAATTAAAAAGATCGGGTAACTATAACCTATAGCTCCCATACAACTGATTGTTCAGATATGAGATTTTTCGTTATAATTCATCCATTTATGTAGCTAGGACCATGAAATTTCGCGCTGTTTTCACTCATTATCAACAGAAGACTTACAGTGAAAATAACAAAGATCGGGTCGCTATAACCTGTAGCCCCCATACAACTGATTGTTCAGATATGAGGTATTTTATCATAACTCCTCCATTTATGCAGCTAGGAACATGAAATTTCGCACCATTTTTGCTCATTATCAACGGAATACTTACACTGAAAATTAAGGATCGGGTGACTATAACATATATGTATCTTCCATACATCTGATTGTTCAGATATGGGATTTTACTGTAAAACTCCTTTATTTGAACAGCTAAAACCGATAAATTTCGTAAGATATTTTATAAATAATAATACAAAGTCTACTGAGAAAATCGTCAAAATCTATGCTGTATAAGCTTTATCTCCTATACCACTGATTGTTCAGATACCAGTTTTTGCGATATATCTTCTTTATGTAGGAAACTAAACCCAATAAATTGTGTTACCGGTTTACATACCGATCACATAGCAGTGAAAATCACTTAGATTGGTGCCATATAAAGTATATCTTCCATACCTCTGATTGTTTAGATGCGATTTTTTATATAAGTATGTAACTCCTCCATCGATGTATGCAGATGTATTCAAAAGCAGTAATCTGTCAAAGTAAAATTTGCAGATGTTCATGAAAGGTATGAAGCCTTCGGCATAGCCGAAGACAGCGCTGCTCTTACTTGTTTTATAATAAATTTAATTGTAGAAATGTCACACAGATGCTTTTTAAGTGAAAAAGAGGCTATAAATTGTATAATATATTTAGCTTTACATGTGTATTTCTAGAAATTTTAGCCAAAAAATTTGGATTTATATAGTTTTTGTTGGATAATCAGCTCTACTTTTTTGAAAAAAAAAATTGCGAAAAAACCTAATGAAAAACATTGCGAATATTATACAAATTTTAGTGAGTCTTTATAATTATTATTCG